GGACGCCATTCTGGGACTCTAGGATCACGCCCTGCGCCAAAGGCAGGCACTTAACCACTGAGCCACCCAAGTGTCCCCACACTGTATTTTAAAATGATTTTCTGTCTATATTTCTTTTTATGCCAGTTATCTGGTATTGAGATTAATAACTGAGTAGGAAGAGTTTATAATCATAAACACAAAGCAAACAATACAGCAGTTTGGAAAGTTTAGGTATGTATAACTTGAATATGTACTGTGTCAAACCCATGGTCTCAAGATTATATATTTTTCTAGTATTATATAACGTATTAAGATATTACTTCATTATGTATGCTTCTTTAAGGACACTGCCCTGTTTTTGGAACTTATATAAATCCCAACTGAATCATTGATTGATTACTACTTTTGGTGGCCTATTAAAGTAGCCCTATTAAGCATTAAGGGTTCTAGAGATTAAATATACTGTCCTAAGTCTCGAGAATCTCACAGTATAGAGGGAAGTACAGAGAAATGGGTTACTCTAAAATAAGATGATTAGTTCTATAACAGAGGGATAAACAGAATTATCAGAACATTTAGCACAGGCATTATCCTTGTATGGTATTAGAGAAAGCTTCTGAGAGCAGGTGACATTTGAGTTCATTTTGAAGGATGAATGCAGTAAAAGAAACTCTAGGATTTTTAGGAATTGGACACTGGCATCAGATGTATTGTGACCAAGAATATGACTTGTCTAGAATTTTATTAGTTTTGCTTTTTCAAGCATTTGTTGAATTAGAAGGAATGATTTGGTAATTAGCATATTTTCAATGGCAAAATAACATATTCCCAAATTATAGGATAGAGTAAAAACATAAACAAAATGTTTATGTTAATAGAAAAATTGAGTGTTTTTTTCATAAACATCCTATTGATTTAGAATTATATTCACTCCTTTACTCATTCATTCATAAATTTACTCAAAAATATTAGATGCATAATTTTATGGAGATAGTATTTTAACTGAGTCGAGGGGGGTCACTTACTTCCATGTAATTTTAAGTAAGTCCCCTCTGAATCCCAGATTCTCTTGGGGTTGATCAGAGAATTTAGTAAGAATATTAGGGAAAATACTTTCTAAACAAAAAGAGATACATAAATGTAGGGTGATTTTAACCACTATTATAAGACTTTTAAATAATTTCTAGATTATAATGAAAAAATATTAACATTAAAGTATGAAAGTAATATTTTATAGTGTGTATAGATTTTCCTATATATTTGAAATTAGGGTTTTCATATACAATAAACCAAAAAAAGTGGAGTTCAAATGTTCAAGTTCAAAAATTGAAATCAGTAAGTGTACATTTAGGGGTGTTAAACTTTTTATAAGAATCTGGCTTTATTTTCTAAGTATTTTATGTTATTATTTGCTGATTATTATTTAATTATTTCTATTCTGTAAAATACTTGCCAAGTAGTTGCTATGTTTGAAATACATATTTTGCCAGGTGAGTGCCTTAAAATAACATACTTTTAAATGACTTAAGGGATGAAGAACAATTTGTCAGAATGACTCACTTAAGGTGAAGGATAACTATGGCTTTAAAATTTCTTAAATGCATTAGTCATCTTCTACTAGATATTAAGTTAATAATTCAGATACATTCTATCTACAGTATCAGCTAAAAATTGGAGACACCTTTAAAATCTGGTGAAACTCTTCCAATTCTGTCTTGATATCAGAGCTAATTACTTTTTGTTGTTTGGTTAAACATTGATAATATAAAGGAAAGAGAAGCAATAATGCACATGTATTTTTATGACTAAATTATTGAGTATAGTTAAACCTCATTACTTTAGTATTCAGGGATGGGCAAGAAGACAACTAAGGAGTTCAAGTCATAACATTTTATTTTAAGCATTTAAATAGTCTTGCCTAACTGCCAACAGCTTGGAATGAAATTGAACACATTTACAACTTCACATGCATTCATTATTCCCCCTTGTTTTCTCTTTTGTTGATAGTTGCTCAAAAGGATACTTTCTTACATGATTAATTTGAGGCTTGTCTGAAGTTAAAATTACCTGGTTTTTAAGGAACGGTTAAGATCTAATTTCCTATTGAATCATGTTATTTGCATTTAAATTTCAGAGACTAGCATAAAATGACATTGTGTATGAGATTTGAGTTAAAATCCTGGAAGCTCAAAAAAAAAAAAAAATCCTGGAAGCTCCCATCAAAAATAAACACGAGTTAATTGTTATGACAGGATCATATTTATCCTTGAAAAATGCTCTGCCTCAGTAAAATTATCTCAGAGTTGTATCAAACCAATATGAGTTTGTATGATAGATTAAAGTGAAATGTCTTTTTTAATAGAAGTAAATTGTGCAGAATTGATATACTAGAGCATGACTTTTGCATATAACAATATTAAATGTATAAGTACTATGTCATGACAAAACCATTTTTGTGCTCTTTAAATACAAGTACTCAAGAAAAATAAATCCTTTAGCAAATAAGTGTAATTCATGGTTCATCCATTATTTTTATTTGTATTTGTTATCTTATATATGGATTTTAGTGGCTCCCCCAAAAAAGTTTTTTGGACTGATATTTACTAATAGAAAAACCAAAATTGTGTGTGTGTTAACATGAATAAACTGTACTATTCATTCAACTTTTTGATCTATAGATGAAGTTAAGGGAAATATGAAGCTAGTAGGTGAATGTAATCTAGAACTAAGTTCTAATCCTTGAGAAATCTAGAAACTGTGGAAATACAGAAGACAGAATGTTTCTAGAGATAGTTCATAATAAGAATTTTTAGCCTTTGTAACCAATATGATATGGGAGAAAAAAAAGAGTTTTGTCTGTTTTTAGAGTTCTTTGGTTATATGCTTAAAGAGGAAAAAAGGATTGGTGATACTTTTGATTCTAATGAGGTGATAAGAAATCATCTAAGGTGATTTCTTTTAAAAAAATTTTTATTTATTATTTGACAGAGAAAGAACACAAACAGGGGGAGCAGCAGTCAGAGGAATGGAGAAGCAGGCTCCCTGCTGAGCAAGAGCCTAATGCTGGCTCTATCCCTGGCTCCTGGGATTGTGACCTGAGCCAAAGGCAGATACTTAAACCAATTGAACCACCCGGGCTAAAGATGATTTCTCAAAATGACAGTAAACTTTTCTTCATGGGAAATTGATGAAAATTAGGCAGTTTTTTTTTCTTTTATCTGTTTTGGTACCACAGATACCTGTTTCAGTAAGTTTATATATCATACTTGTGAGCCTATGCTGTTATATTGAAATGTAAAGATGTCTACAAGAACATTTTAAATCCAAGCAATAAGCTCTTTAATTTTGAATTTAAATGGTAGTATTCACTGTCTCTCATTCTGTGGTTCTCTACTCTTTGCAAATAAAAAGATCAATATGAAGTGTAGATACTTTTAGACAGTTCCCTGGAATCATATAGAACAGCATTTGATTACCACCTCTGAGGGAAAGAGGGGGGTCTGGCTCCAGGAGCTGTCCATTCTTGCTTTAGTCAGCGTAATTCTATTTTTATCTATTTTATATGCTGGGATTTTCTATCAGAGTCTTTAGCACTAGGGGAAAAAATTAAAACCACTGACTATGATATCTAAGGATGTTTTTAGTTCAGACAGTTTTAATCAGTGTTAAATAAATTCAGCTAAGCTAATCTATATAAATTATTGCCAGCGTAATGAAATAGGAAGAGAATCTTAGTGTTTGAATCCTCAGTCTGCTGCTCATGACTCTCAAATATGCACTTAACTTTTCAGGTTTTATTTTCCATCTGTAAAATGAGATAAGGTAGTTGCCTTGTTTAACACTGAGGTGTTTTAAGGTTAAATTAATGATCATATTTTGCTTGTATACAGTAGACCCCCTTATTTGCAGAGGATAAGTTCCAAGAACCCCAATGAATGCTTGAAGCTGCACACAGTACCTTTCTATATACTATGAACCCTCTATCTACCATGCTTTTTCCTAAATATACAAACCTGTGATAAAGTTTAATTTATAAATTAGGCACAGTGAAAGATTAAAAAAAATAATAAATAAGTTATAACAGTATACTGTAAAAAAAGTTATGTGAATGTGCTCTTTCTCAAAATATAATATTTGTACTCACCCCTCTTGTGATGATGTAAGATGATAAAATGTCTCATAGTGAAATAAAGTGAGATGAATGATATAGGCATGGTGACACATAGCATTAGGATACTGTTGACCTGCTGACTCTATGTCAGAAATAGGATCATCTGCTACTGGACTGCAGTTGACTGCAGGTATCTGAAACTGCAGATAAGGGAGGACTACTATATTTCAAATTTCAGGTTAGATCCAGTCAGCAAACTTTTTCTGTATTGGGCCAAATAGTAAATATTTTACTTTTTGTGGGGCACATAAGGTTTGCCTCATGGGACTGCAATTGCTAATCCCTGTTTTTAATATTAATAACTAATTATTTGAAATTATTGTTAAGCCACCAATAAGAATGATAGAAATTAATTCCAACTAAGAGTGAAAATTACTCTGCTCCTATCTGGTTTGATTTTTGGCATCAGTTTATTTTTACTACGATATAAGAAACAGATTACTTGTTTACTATACAAATCACTTGTTTACTATCTTTGTTGTTATCTAAATTGTCTATATCATCTATACTTCCCTACCATATTATTATTTATTTACTATATTTTTTTACTATATTTTTTTACTATATTTATATTCCCATAATTTGTGAGAGTCATTTAGAACTAACTCTCTGGTTTCTGGTTTCAGTCAATTATAAAACTATAGTATTTTTAAAATTGTCAGTTTGACATATATTCCATGAAATTTAATTAACCTGCATTTGACGAGCAAATTGTGTTGTAAAAAAGTCAAGTTGGAGGAATTGGAGCTCATTGTATATATTCTTTATAATGTTCTTCTTTAAAACTTACTTTAAATAATTTAATAATTCCCATTTATTTAGGATTATTATTATTATCCTCTTACAGCTTGTGTGAGTTACTCTATGAATACTGAAGCTTCATTGGACAACACAGATGATGAACAACCAAAACAACCAATTAAAACTGCAGTAATAATGAAAATTCAGCAAAATATAGGTATTTAATTTCCTTTATAACATTGAAAGATGTTATGTTGGACTTTGGTTTTCTTATTATTTTAAAATTATTTCCATTACATTTTGCTTTCTTAGAAGTGCTAGATTAAGCTGGTATTTGTTGAGTATTATGGAAAGTACTAGACCCTGGAGATGAAAGAGATGGAAATATTTATAAATAATGCATTATCCTAATTGCCTTCAAACATGACACTTCCTATTAATTTTTTTGGTGTTTTTGTTTGTTTTTAGAGTGGGTGGGAGGGGCAGAGAGAGAGAGAGAAACATTTATTTATTTTAGAGACTGAGAGAGAGAGAACATGCAATTGGGAGGCAGGGGCAGAGGGAGAGGGAGAGGAAGAAGTAGGCTTCCTGCTAAGGAGGCTTCATAATGCAAGGCTCAATCCCAAGACTCTGGGATCATGATCTGAGCTGAAGGCAGACCCTGAAACTGACTGAACCACTCAGGTGCCTGAGAGAGAGAATCTTAAACACGTTTCATACCAGGGCAGACCCAACATAGGGCTCCATCTTACTACTCTGAGATCATGACCTGAGCTGAAATCAAAAGTCAGGTGCTTAACAGACTGAGCCACCCAAGCACCCCTTTTTTGGTGTTTTTAGAAGAAAAACCTGTTGCATTTTAGGAATTAATTAGTATAGTTGGGCCAATGCTTTCTAGGCTGGTGTTCTTTGCAAAACAGCTATTGTAGAAAATTCTGATACATAGTCTATGAAAAAAGTCAAATTCAGGTCTGAAAATCTGTAATGAACTTTAGAATTTTAAAGACTCCAAAGAAGTGTGGCAATTACTTTAACATGGTTCAGACTTATTGATAAAAGAACATGTAGACTATTGTTAAGTGGAGTGCCAATTTGAGAAATACTTTATAAGCATTAAGACTTTTAACTGAGAGTTAGAAGCCAGAAGATTTAGTTGTTTTTCTTGGAACTTACTCATTATATAATTGCCTAAATTCTTTGTATCGAAGTGCATGTGTATGTGTGTGTCTGTCTAGACTACTCTGGTCAGTTTTGTTTTGGTTAACTTATAGTTATTAAGAAAAAATAAACAAAACTAAAAGTTGCCAATACAAACGTTACTAATTTTTAGATTTTATAATTGTGGAATCTGAGTTTTTTAGTTTTAATATTTACACAAACGACTTGACTTGTCATGTTTGAGACCCGCTGCCCATTGGACTGTCTTTTGGTTGAAACTGGGTACCTTGGGACAGCTGGAATGTCAGTGTGCATATTTATAGAAACTTTTTAAAGATGTGTGAGTTTTTCTGTCAGATGTGTGTGCACAAGTGTGTGAGAGATACTTTTTTTTTCTTTTTAAAGGTTTTGCTAAGTGGTGAAGTACATGATTATCAGTCAAGCCTTTGCCATCTATCCAGCTTATTGCTATATTTTCCTCCTAAGCCTGGCTGGCTTTTATTTTATTTTATTTTTTTTCTAAGATTTTATTTATCCACTTATAGAGACACACACAGAGACAGAGAGAGAGAGGCAGAGACACAGGCAGGGGGAGAAGCAGGCTCCATGCAGGGAGCCTGAGGCAGGACTCTATCCCAGGTCTCCAGGATCACGCCCGGGGCTGCAGGCGGTGCCAAACGGCTGCACCACCAGGGCTGCCCAACTGGCTGGCTTTTAATACATATATACGTGTGTGTGAGCATGTGTTTGTGCAGGTGCATCTTGTTGTCTAAGCCCGTGGGTTACCTACATTTCAGAGCCTAGGATCAGTTAAGCCTTTGTTTTGCTTATCCCATGACCATTTGTTTTTTGTTTGCTTTACCTGTAGGTGTGATTGCAGCAGTTGCGGTAGCAGTCTTTGCTGCGGGAATCTCCTTTCATTACTTCAGTGATTAGGGTGAGACACAGAGAGCTTCCTGATCTTCCAGAGAACACAAAGCAATCATTATGAATAATGAAGATGCAAACAGTCCATCTGCATTTAAGACCAGAGCAGCCACCTCTGCTGTCATAATGCCTATTAGGTTTCTGACTAAAATGAAATCACCAGCTGCCTTGTTTAGCCCTGCTTATATTATAGATGGCTCAGGCTTCCAAAAATAAAGTTGTGCATATAGATGGAAGTTGCTGTAACAAATCCTTATTACCTATTTTTTAAAATGTTTAAAATGATACTTTATTTTTATAGATTTTAGTCCTGTTGATTTGGATCATATATTGTAAATTTAACTGAGTATCTTAGAATAATGCGAGAAATTTTTACAAAGTGGGACAACAATCTATTGGATAAGTTCATATCCTAGGACCTTTCTAATGTATACTCAGTTTCAAAATAGTGATCGAGTTCTGGTCAAGGGATAGGAAACCTTTCCAGAGAGGTTTGAATTATTAAGGCTTGCCATAAATCACGTGCTTTCTCAGGTTAGTATATTATACCCATTTTAGTATATTTAATAAGACTTTTACTTTTAGCAGTACGTTAGGTTAAGTACTGAAAAACAACTAAATCCTGAACAAAATCTATTTTTGAATGCATTAATCGGGTCAAAGAAAGTAGGGGAAGTTTCTGAGAATCATACCTCTATTTTTACTCACAAAAATGAACACATTTTGGTTGGGAATTGTGAATACTATATTAAGCATGCAAGTGGGCAGTGGTTGCTCAGATGGCAAATACCAATTGCAACATAACCATATGCAATCTGCCTTGGATTAGAAACAAGGAAATGAATCTGAATCTGAGATGCTGTTCCAGCCAGGACAGTTGAAGTGGGCATTTAGTTTGTAGTACCCTGTAGCTCATAGCAGAAGCAAGTTAAGGCTCAGGACTTCCATAGATAAAGCAATATTATGATTAGATATTACCAGGTGCAAATTAAAAACTAGCTAGTGTGAGAAAGAACCTATAGAAATAATTCACTTCTCTAAGTTCTTATCACTGACATCTATGAAAAATGGAACCACAGGCAGATCTAAAAAAGAAAGAACTGCAAAAATGAAAAAAATATGTTACTTGAAATTAAAAAAAAAAAAAGAACCCTCAGACATGTTGAATATTGTATTAGACTCAAGAGACAATAAATAAACTGGAAGTGAGATCTAAAGAAATTACCTGGTGTGCAGCAAGGAGAAACAAGGAGCTAGAAAATGCAAATATTAAAGAGAACTTTAGAGATATGGAGGGAAGAATTATAAAAACCAGAAGTATTATGAGAGAAAAAGAGGATGGAAGAGTGGCATATTTGAAGATAACTATTTTCCTTACTTGAAAAGCATGAATTCAATAATTTTAGGAAGCACAGTATATCCCAAACATAAATGGATCAAAACCATGCCTAAATCCAAAGTAGTGTAACTACAAGATATGAAGCACAAGATTTTAAAAGCATTCAAAGGAATCAAAATAGCATCAATGAAGGCAAGACAGTCACATACTCAGTAGGCTTCTCAATAGCAACAATGTACCCAAAGATGGTGGAATAATAATGCCTTCAAAGTTCTGAGAAAAACTATATCAACTTAGAATTTGTACCAAGCAAAACTGAAATGTTCAGATGAAAAACAGACTTTTACTATCAACAGAATTTCAATAAAGAAACTACAAAGAATGATCTTAAAGAAGGAAAATGTTTCCACAAAGATGATCTGAAATCGAAGAACCCGTGAACAAATACAATGATATAAATCAAAGGTATTGTTAATATAAAAAGGTTGTAATTAAGTGTTTATAAGAAGTAAAATTGTAAACAGCTGTAAAATTAAATAAACATTTTTATGCAACATGAATGTGGACTTTAAGGTATAATTGAAAAACTGGATAATAGCTTTTAAGATGGGAGGAGGGTGATTAGAATTAATGTTCTGAGATGCTTTCATTGTCCAGAAGGTAGGTTAAGATACTGTTTAACTTTAAATTTTTAGTAAAATATCAAGTGTAACTGCTAAAGTAATAGATACAGAATGAATTGTTTTAAAGGAAAACTTTAAAATAGTGGAATAGGAAGACAATAACAGTACAAAAGAAATAAGGGGTGGAGGAGGAATAAAATTAGTATAATAGTAACAAGTCAAGTAGTATCAATTAAACATGAATAGACTAAACTCAGTTCAACAACAGAATGATTAGGTCTTTAAAACCTAGCTATAGGCTGGATTTTTTTAAAAGATGAAAACAGACAAAATTTGTGTAGCTTTAGTGATACTAAATTAAAATTGGATTTTATGATAGTATTATTAAAGAGGAGGTGACCATTAAATGATAAAAGGAACAATTCACTAGAAATATATATCAATTTTAAATTTGCACATACTTTATAAAATGGCCTCAAAATTAATAAGGCTAACCCAACAAATTGAACAATATTGTGGGAGATTTCAACAGATCCCAATTTCTGATAAACCAAGCCAAAGAATGAATGAAAAAAACAGATTTAGGCAATGCAGTCAACAATATTCTCAGGGATTGGCAAAGCTGCCTCAGAATATCCTTTTGCCAAGACTTGTCTGCAAATTCTTAACCTTTTTTTGTTTGCAAAGAACAAAGAAAAATTGTTGTAAACTTAGCTGCTGTTGTAACATATGAACAGTCTTTTCTGAAAATGCAAATTAGACAAGAATCATTACATCATTTGTGGCATGCAGTTACATTGGGTTTCTGCTATTGCATGTATATATTACTTTCATACTTGCTATATTTTATACTGCCTTACCATTTTCAAAGGACTTGCATATGTGAGTAGCATTTGATCTTTTCTGGGATTCAATGGACAAATTTAAAATAATCAGCAATTAGAGAATATTCTTAAGCATTTTATTTTAGCAAAAATTGACCATGTATTAGGCATGAAATAAGTCACAATAAAGTTTTAAAAATCCGTATTCAAAGGATGATCCGAAATAAGAGGTTAGTAATAAAGGTTAAATTTTTAAAAGTCATACATTTACAAGTTTTTAAAAACCTAGATGAAAGAAGAAAACAAATACATAGAACCTAATTATAAATACTGCATTTAGAAAAATTGGGTGATGTAGCAGAAATAGCGCTGAATGAATTTAAATGCTTAAAGAAAAAGCCTAAGTATGTAACTTAAGACCAACAGAATAAACCTAATGGTAAAGCATGGAGGTATGGGCAAAGGAAGAAATCAGTGAATTAGAAAACAATATCACAATGTCAAAGCTGTTTTCATGATAACAGTAAAATTGGCATAATTGAACAAGAAGAAAACAGTACAAGATTGAAAAGGAGTCCTCACCCATAGAGATACAGATGAGCATTTTAATATATTTGAAATGTAAAATGGATCAAGATCTAGAAAAATGGCATTTCCTTAAATTGTCCAAAGAAGAAATGGACAAGCTACATGGACTTATTCAATAGTGTTGAATAGTAAATAATTTTTTGGCAGAACATCTAGCCCACATCTACAGATGTTTCTCTTTCAAGGACCATACTATCTCAACATTTCATACAAACTCCCAAAGGCTAGGTAATGAGGAATTCTCTTCAGCTCTACTGAAGCCAGTATAACTTCTACTGATAATAGAATCAGACACATTCAGTAGGAGAAGAGAAAGTTTACAGACTCATCACATACATGAACAGATGTGAAAACCAAAAGCACTATTGATAAGCTAAATTCAACATTATTTTAAAAAGGATAATGCAGCATGACTAAGTTCTAGATGCACATTAAAAATGAGGAACTCAATGAGAATGCTTATTTTATCATCACTTCTATTCATCATTGTACTGTAGAAATAATGAGCAAAAGACAAACCAGACCTTTTAAGAGGATGTGACTGAGCACATGAAAAGATGTTTAGTCTCATATATGATCAACTAAGACCGTGGTGAATTACATCCAATAGATTGAAAAATTAAGAGATATGACAATATTAATGAAGAAGATATGCATCAAGAAGACATTTACAGGTGGGATTATAAACCAATACACAGGCATTATCTTGTGAAGTTAACTACTTACATTCTCTAATACTCTAATACCTGACCATTCTTTTTCTACAAATATACCTTAGAGAAATGTTCCATAGGTGTACAAGAGTACATCTATGAGAATGTTCAAGGCAGCCCTCTTTGTAACCACTCAAATGTTCATTGACAAGAGAATGAAAAATAAATTGTGAGTTTTGTCCTTTTAATAGGAAGAAAGACCCAAAAAGCAAGTCTCAGAAGCCCACATGCAGTATGATAGCTTTTTTGAAGTTTAAAAACAAGCAAATTTTGTTACACAGGAATACATTTAGATAAATTTTTTAATATGAAGGACTGATGCCAGGGATCCCTGGGTGGCGCAGCGGTTTGGCGCCTGCCTTTGGCCCAGGGCGCGATCCTGGAGACCCAGGATCGAATCCCACGTCGGGCTCCCGGTGCATGGAGCCTGCTTCTCCCTCTGCCTGTGTCTCTGCCTCTCTCTCTCTATCTGTGTATGACTATCATAAATAAAAAAAAAAAAAAAAAAATTGAAGGACTGATGCCAAAATTACTAAGATTTCTGGTAGGACTGATGGCAAAGCAGGAAGGCAAGAAGGAACAAATAAATAAATGAAACATAAGCTGTTTTTGTTCTCGAGTTGAAGTGAGTTACTTGATCTTCATCTTATTTACTTAATGTATTGACATATGTATTATTTTGGCTGCCAACTACTAACGACCCCAAACTTAATTGACTTAAAACAACGATTTAATTTCCCCCCCCACAATTCTGAATTAACAGGAATCAGTTGGGTTGCTCTCTACATGCTGTTGACTAGAGCTACAATTTTCTAGAAGCTTGATTGGGTTTGAAATATCCAAAATAGCTCATTCATGTGGTTGGCAGTTGATACTGGTTGTCAGCTGGAAACCCAGCTACCACATCTCAGTTCTCTATGTGGCCTCTCCAAATGGCTTGGGGTTCTTCTGTCAAGAATGGCTGGGTTTCTTCCTGTCATGATTCAAGAAATAACCTCCCAAGAGTGAGCATTCCAAGAACAGAGAAGTAGGAGCCATGAGTCCTCCTGAGGCCCTGGCTTAGAAATCTCAGTACACCACTATTGTATTGGTCAAAGTAATCTATAGGGCCAGCCTAGATTAAAGATGAAGGGAAAAACCTATACTTCCCAATGGATATGCATATATGAGAAGGAAAGGGCTTGGTGGTAACTATCTTTGGAGATGATCATTATACCCTCTGCAAATAGCAATTCATGTCCCTGACATGTGGAAAATGCATTTACCACCTCACAAGACCCCTTTAAGCTTCATCTAAATATGTCCTCAGGTTCAAGGCCCATAATCTCATCATTTAAATCCATTTCAGATACATATGAGCCACCTTTACTATAGTTATTCTCAATATGAAGATGCATGAACTAAAGAAAGAACTTTACTTCCCCATTCTCATCCAGCATACAGTAGCAAGACAAGCAATAGATTTCTTGTTCGAAAAGGGAAAATGGGAGGTGCAAAGCCGGAAATGGTCCATAGCAATTCTGAACCCTAGCTGGGCACATGTCTCATTCATCATGATTCCAGGAGCAGGGAGTGCTTGTTTAGGGCCTAATTCTCATCCATTGACCCTTCTTTATGAGATTTTTGACTCTGAGTTGTCCTTTTCCATGAGAATGGCTTGTTTGAAGTTGAAAAGCTTTCTCAACTTGCTTCCTGATTTTCAAAGGTTGAAGGCCTAGAAGCCTTTTTTTTTTTAATTTTGAATTGTCTCTTCCTTTTAGACCAAACTTATGTAATTCCTTTAAAAATATTGCATAGTTTCTATGAATCAAATTAAAATCCACTCCATTCAACAAAAGGCACCCACAGATCTGTTTGAGACTGGCCTTTTCCTCAACTTTGAGCTAAATGTCAGGATGCTGAAGGGACAACATCCTTAAGAATCTTAGGTACCAGTTGCCTTGCTAAGTGGATGGACTGCAATACTTAAAATACTTATAAGATTCTTGGAAGTCTTTTTGTCATCTGAGAGATTTATGAAGTACTGGCTTAAATATTTCTGAAGACTTAAAATTTGTTATAGCTGCACTCTTGATTGTAACTGACCCTGAGGCTATAGGTTTTACTTGCAGTTCTCTGGAGTTGACCATTAGCCAAAGGTCATTTCCTCCTTGAGAATTTCTTTTTCTGGAAAAAGTGTTCAAGGTATATTTCTTACAATGTTTGTTCCAAAACTGAACAGTTTCTCTCTTTTTCTGTATTTAATCATAGCCAGCTAAAAGTCACTTGGCATTTTCAGAATTCTGCCGGGAAAACTCCTTGTCCAGATGCAGAAGCTTATTCAGTTGCTTCTTCCCTTTAGTGATTTCTATGTGTTCATTGGTTCTACCTTTCACATTACTGCAGGTGAAAGTGCCTTTCATAACAAGGATTGCCTTTCAATAACAATTTCCCCGTTGTTCTAGCCACTTCTGTTTCCTGAAGTTCCTAAAAGCCTTCATCTCCTGCTCAGTTACAAAGTGAAGGGTACATGTTTTGGTTTTGGCCCAGTACAACTCTATGTACCAGTTTCTATTTTGGTTTTCTCTTTATAACAATCTCAGAACTTACTGGCATTAACCATTTTATTAATGGTTTCATTAATGATTTTTCATTTATTTATTATTCTGTGAATGGACTGGGCTCAGCTGTCTCAGCTGAAAGGTTCTTCTATTCTACATGATGTTGACTGTGGCTTCAATTGTCCACAGGCTGTGACATCCAAGATAGTTCATCCACATAGTTGGCAATTTATCTACTACTTCACCACATAACCTCCCCACAGGGCTTAGGT